GTTACCGAAAATTTCAACATCAGTAGAATCTCTTCCTTTGTTTGCATTTGGAACTCTATTTTTAAATTAATCAATCAAGTTAAAAAAAGACGAGATTGTTATTATTATTATTTAGTTTTAAGAAAAAGTGTTAATTAAAATTACAAATCACACACTATTTTTTAACTAACTTTATTATTATTTTTTCATATTTATATATATAATTTTATCAGCTTCAAAATTTAAAAAATTTGATAAATAAATCATTCCATAAATATTAAAAAAATTAAAGATTAAAACAAGTCTTTGATTAACGAATACATACTTATCAATTGTTTCTTTATGTACTTGAGCAACATGCACAACCATACCACCCGCAGTATTAAGTTTTTTATTACACTGTGGACACTTAAAATGTTTCGCCTTTTGATGTTGAATCAACACTTTTTCATCTTCAAAATCTCGTTCACAATACCTGTCATCGGTATTTTTTTAAAATTTTTAAATACTTATTATATTATAATATGCATATGAATACTTGGAAACATACCAACACCAAGGACGAATAATGATTTTCTTGTTATTTTTTCTCTTACCCATTTTTTTAAAATTTTTTTTTTTAAGGAAAAAAAATTTCTGTAAATCAATAATACTTTTTGATATGTACACAACACCACACATCAGTAAAATCACGTTATTAATTTATTTGTTTTGATTTTTAAATCATCATTGTTATTATAAACAAAAAAATGTCATATCCGCGTTACAAACGTTCGTCAGCTAAAAGACAACAACCTTTTACACAACAACAACAACAACAACAACCACAACGACAACAGCGAATAGCCGATTTCTCTGATGACGAAAATAACGATCCTTTTATTATTCCAAGAGCTGCTTCTTCTTCTTCTACTACACCAACTTCACCACAACGCTCCAAACATTTTCAAAATATAGAACATCCTTCAAAGGTAATAAAAGTAATAAATACACACAAAATCAAGCAACCTCAAACGGATGCCATTATTGGTATTATGGGGGTCGTGCAATTTAAATTGGTTTATTATTATACAATAAATTAATAAAATTAAATTGTCATGTCAAAATTATATGGGCATCAAGAAATAAATAAATAACACGTATATATATATATATATATATA